CTGATGGCTGTGTTTGACCTATAGTTCATGTGTGTGCTCATTTGAAGGCCTTTGCTTTGAAATTGCAAGGAAATTCCATTATGAAAAAATTTCTTTGTCAAAAGCATCCAAGTGTGTTTAGTGATTTGCAAATGACTGTGTGTAATGTTTTGCCAAAAGTGTGAAGCTGACAATGTGCTTACAGTTGTGCAGATCTAGCCTTGTGTTTTGCTCTATTAGTGTACGGTTTTGCTAATTGTAGGAAAAGTTTAATTTTAGTGTGTTAGCAATAATGAAAAACTGTAACTGGGTATTAGGTATAAACTATTATATTTATCTACAATACATATGTTAAATATAAGTCTTCAATAAATATGTTAAACAGGAGCTATAAATAAATAATCTTCAATAAATATGGAAGGCAATGTTGCAGTATGGAAGAGGAAGCATGGAGGGGAGGAAGATTGGTAAACAGGAGACAGGGGATGGGATTTTTTTATATATATTAAAATGTACACATCACCAGAAAGCTGAATAAAACACTTTACATTTGTTGTATGGTTTTTATTAGGATAGGGCAATATTTAGCTTTCAGTCTATCACTGTTTGGTGAATACAGTATGTTCATGTACTGTGTAGCAATACCTCTGAAACAAATCAAACCCAGATTATATCAGTATTAGTCAGTTAGAAATTATACGAGTGTTTAAGATTGATTACCGCAGTGTGTAAATGAAGCAAATAGATTTATCTTGAATGAGGCGTGTGTGTTCTTTACGGTGTTAAAATTGTGTTTTGTTATAGTGTTGTAAAGTTTTGGATAAAGTGTTTCATTTTGCAAAAGTTCTGATGTGTTCTGCTGTTTGTGTGTGTGGATGTGGAAATTGTGTGTAGTGTTTTGACAAAATGAGCCTTCATTTCAAAATTGTGCTTGAGCAATCAAAAAAAAAAAAACTGTAAATGAACAATGACTCACTTACAGTTTTTTTTACACACAATTACTTGTACTTCAGACACAATGACTACAACATGTGATGTGACTGATGTACCAACCCCCTGAACCAATTCTGCTAAACTACAAGCTCAATTCCTGCTTTACTCTCAAATTGCAGGTTAAAAACACACTTTTTTCAAAACACAACACACAATTCTCTGCATTTTGCTCAATTTTCATGCCGAAAAGCTCTTGTTTTTACAAGGAACACACTGTCATTCACAATTGTAAAGTCAGTTTTCCTACTTTGCATACTAACTCATCACATGAGTAAACACCTGTCACACAGAATTGCAATTTAGGAATCAGAGCTCATCTGGTTTATAACTGGTTCACTGCCCACACATGTTTTTTAGTTGTTTATCTCCTTCCATATTCTCCATTCCTTAATTATATTGAGGATTTTTTTTCTGCTTGGGGATAGAAAGTGTGTATGACTGAAATCCACACAATTTACAGTTTTCCCATTTGTTTACACACATTTTCTGAAAGCATGCCTCATATTGTCAGAACTCTAGGGTGAAACCCTTTAATTCTCCTGCAAAATGAAACACAATTAACACAATGTGATTTCTTCTCAACATGGTATTTTGTTTTCAAATGATGCACACAAACCATCACATCAATAGACATTTATAAGAAGCAGTTGAACACTGATGTGCTGAATGTAAAACACTCTGACCAATTCTTCTCCATTCATCATAATGACTTACTGTCAGCCTTTTTCATTTAGTGTTACAGTTACTACAGACAGTACATAGGCCTACAGAAATGCATTGTAAAATACTTCAAAATATTGTTTTTATACAAAACAAACAAATACCAAATATATTTTACAGTATTTTCAGTTTACAGAGTGTTCATCCCAACCAACACAAAGGTGCACATAATGTGGTCTTCATTTGCCATTAACAGAAGGATTTACAGAATACTGTTAGTAAAAAACGAAAAATAAAGTGTGGATTTCGGCATACACTTTCCATCCCCAAGCAGGAAAAAAATCTTCAATATGATTAAGGAATGGAGAATATGGAAGGAGATAAACAACTAAAAAACATGTGTGGGCAGTGAACCAGTTATAAACCAGATGAGCTCTGATTCCTAAATTGCAATTCTGTGTGACAGGTGTTTACTCATGTGATGAGTTAGTATGCAAAGTAGGACAACTGACTTTACAATTGTGAATGACAGTGTGTTCCTTGTTAAAACAAGAGATTTTCTGCATGCAAAATGCAGAGAATTGTGTGTAGTGTTTTGAAAAAAGTGTTTTAAACGCGCAATTTGAGTGTAAAGCAGGAATTGTGCTTGTAGTTAAGCTGCATTGGTTCAGGGGGTTGGTGCATCAGTTACATGTTGTAGTCATTGTGTCTGAAGTACAAGTAATTGTGTGTAAACAATTGGGAAAAACTGTAATAGTGACATTCTGCCACCTACTGGCGATTTTAGTTTTTTTGTTTAGATGTAACATTTAAAGCAAATTTTAATTATTTCAAATAACATTAGGCTATTCAACGTTTTAGGATTAAACATCACTGTTTTGGTTATTATTATGAATGGTTCGGGGTTTGGGTAATATTAGGAAATAATATTACAATTTAAAATAATGCTTTTCTATTTTAATACACTTATTTATTTATGTGATGCAAAGTTAAATTTTTTGACACTATTATGTCGCATGATCCTTCAGTGTATTGTCAAAGTTGTGCTGTTAAATGTTTTTCTATGAAATTTTTACAGGATTGATTGATTGAATCCTGGAAAATTATTATTCAAAATATAAATACAATGTAATATTATTGCTGAATAAAAATATACATTTTCTTTCAAAAAAGAAAGGAAACAAATGAAAAATAAAGTAGGTTATGTTTTTTTTATTTGTCAAAGAATCCCAATAATATGTTTTAAAAGTAAAATAAAAAAGAAAGGTGCTTTAAAAACAACACAATAATGGTTAATGTAATTTTCTATTTTTCTAATATTTTACAGCAAAAGTATCAGATCTAACAGGCGATAGTGATCGATGAGTTGGTCATCACTGATATGCGGTAGGCTACATTGAACATGTAAAAAATTTAAACACAATAAGACTCAAATGTAAAACAAATTAAAAAAGGATTTTACAAAACTTAACGACATGAATATATTAATAAACAACCTAAACTTTACCTCCGGAGACATTTGTTATTTTTGTTATACATTTTTTATACGTTTTAATGCTATCTTGAAAACAAATATCATTATATATTAACATATTTATATTTAATTTGCACATAATTATTGTATATTGTATAAGTTAGCCGGCAAAAAGCAGACAGACGCACTAAAAACTGCTGAAAAATATATATTTAAAAAAAAAAGGTAGACGCAGACGTCATGTAACAAGTCAGACGTTGATGTCACGTCCATTGAGAGGAATGTATGAAGGGCAAGAAAATTGTGCACTGCCTCACACACTGCACTGAGCCGTGTGAGCAGCGTGTTATGATACGTGTTAGCAAAAAAATAAATAAATAACTTCACTGCTACACGTGAATCACGCGTAACGTCTGGCTTGACACTTCACTGCCACACGTGATTTACGTGACGTCTACGTGACGTCAACGTCACGTCAACGTCACGTCTGCGTCTTAAATCGCATGGATTTAATAGCAAAAAAAAATATTTTTTAAGACGTCAGTGAGACGTTCAGTGAGACGTTCGGTGAGACGAGTGCACGTTGCAGCGTCAGGTTAAAGAGCTCGGAGGAGCGCCATACACTGCTGCTTCGGCGACGCTCACGCCTCGCACTGACGCGCTGCTGCTGCGTGCGGTATGAAAGCTCTAATCTGTTAACATGGACGCCGAAAACACACGCGCTGCTCACGCTCTGCTCACGCGCCGCTGACGCTTGCGGTGTGAAACAGGCGTAAGTTATGCGATGCGGCCTGGAGCTGGCGCGATTGAATATATAAAACCCTCATATTTGTTAACGTTATTACATCCATTTGTGTTGATATGACAGCAAACGCATGCTGAGAAGTTCGGGGGGCGTAGTTGATTTTACATAAAGCGTTTGGTTGGAAGCTCGACTCTGCTCATTTTCGCGGCTCCTCCTCTGGCTCCATCAGACAATCCTTCTGCGCATGTCTGGCTCCAATTTCAGCAGTCTTTTGCCACAGTTTGTGCCCGTCAAGCAGGCGTTTTGCCCTCAAGGCGTTCAATGGGAAAAAGGGCTGTCGCGTCGTCCATATTTTTTACAGTCATTGCACCAAACACGTTATATAACCAATTATTAGCTAAGTGTGAACTCTTATGATTTTTTTTTTGAGAAATAAAAATTAAGAAAAAACATATTTTGTGCTAAAACTAAGGATTTGTAACATGGTTATTGCAATAAACCAAGCTCTATTTATCAAGTTTAATAATAAATGAGTTTTTTGTCCTGTTCTGGAACAACAATTTTTCTTTTAATTCATTTCATATTCTGCTACAGTGTATTGCAGTGTAATATAATATTATTATTCCTATTTATTATTGATTACACATATCACAAAATAACCTTTATTATTTATTTTATTATCATTTATTTTATGTATTTTGAAGAATTATCTTCCCTGTCTCCCCCCCAAAAAACCTATATTATAATATATTTTATCTTACTTTTTTTTTTTTTGTACTCCATTATCAGACCCTGTGACGAACCACCGTTTGCTCCAGCATATCTCAAAGACATTCAGTAGGTTAAGATCAATTTGGCGGTCAATTCATGTATAAATAATAGAAGATTTCTTTTCCAGTGTGAGCCTGATGTGTTTTGAATCATTCTGGAATATAGGCATGGGGTACCCTCTTCTTTTTTTAAGAAATAAAAATCTACAGGATCAGTGAGTTGGGTTATTTGCCAAGTGTATAACGAGCCAGAAACGTAATAATCACTGTAATAAAATCCAGTCAAAGGTGCAAAATTATTTGCTTTAAAAAATCCATATTTTCTGACCAGGCCAGAACTGGTCAACTGTCTGTGATCTCTGATGGTCTTATTTTACAGGTGGACCCTCAGGATGTCATGATGTGTCTGACCACACGTACCCTGATCACCAGAGGTGAGAGTGTTTCCACCCCCCTCAGTGTGGAGCAGGGACTGGACGTCCGGGATGCCTTTGTCAAGGTCAGGTTATTTGCGATCCCTAAGTGATGTAGTTTGATTCCCCATTTATCATAGAAGTCATGAATATCTTCAGTTTTTGTCTTCTTCAGGGAATCTATGGGAGGTTGTTTGTGTGGATAGTGGATAAAATCAATGCTACCATCTTCAGGGCTCCTTCCACAGAAAACAGGACCGTTCGCAGGTCTATAGGCCTGCTCGACATCTTCGGTTTCGAGAATTTCACTGTTAACAGGTTAGTTTTGGTAAATAGAAAAATTTGGGTTGTTTTTATTTCCCCAAGTGCAACAGCTCTGCTCAGAGTGTAGTCACACTTTGCTTAATACAAAATCTGGCGTGATTGCTCAGTTAATGCGGTTCATTTTATTAAGGCGCGAACACTGCCACACACAAACACAACAAACAAGTAGTGACTAAGACTGCAGAGAAAATGAATCTCTGTCCAAATAAATTTTGAAATATGAATGCAACATGAACCAACATGAACTGCACCCGCATGTTTTGAGCTTGCGTCTGAGAGCTGCTGTGAGTCAGGATGTAAATTTATTCTGCAAGATGATTTAAAATTACTTCTTAATTATGGAACTTCACATTCCTTAACATTAGATTTTTAATGAGGCCTGGACCTCAGTGACCTTAATGCTGGCTATGGGCTTGCTCAAGTATCTGCCTTTTTTTCTTGTCTCCTTGTCTCCTTCTCCTTCTTTTGTTTGTGAATAACACAAATAAATAAATGAATAATTTCATTTAAATAAAATAAATATTTATTTATTTCAGTGGTTGAACTAGGTATTGAATTCCTGGATCAAAACAATTGCAAGCGCAGGTTGCCAGATTGAGGACCAACAAGGCTGATTTAAACCGTGTTCTAAATAAAAGCTACAGCACACAATAGAAGGAATATTTTACATATTAAAGGAGTTTTCGCCAACACCTCAAATTGATATATAGGAAACGGCTTCTTATAGCTGAACAACAGAAAACTTTGACAATGATCACATTAGGTACACCTCATGTGCCTTATTTAGTGTTAAATGCTAATAATGTGAGTTTGAATCCCCTTTTACATGACATTTATTGCCATACTACTAAAAACAACAGCAGATAGTTCACCTCAGATCTTGAAAATAAAATAAATAAAAATTAAACCATTTTGAAATTGGTTTGTGCTGTGACTCAGTTCAAACCAACACGTGATTGAGCATGTACATTTAATAATGTTAAAGAGGTTTAATATGCATTAATTAGGGTATAAACCTTACAGTTTCGTGAGTGCATATTCTGTGCTTCTGGACGGCTGTATTTACATTTTGTCTTAATTCGTTTGGTGCAAATAGCCAAATTGCTTGTCACTGCAAATCAAATGCATTCTTTGAGAGCCTTCCTGACTAATTGAATGAAATATGCTGTTTTCCATAAAGGCAACCCGGAGTGCTTAAATATAATTGTCTAAACTGGCATTGGACGGGTAAAAGGACCAAAACAACGACAGCGTTCTGACGCGGAAAACACATTTTCAAAGCTAAATAAAGTTCAGCATTGTTATTTAGATAAACAAGAGTGTTCACTTGGCATGTTTCTTAAATATCTGCAAACATAGTATGGCATTTTTATGCTTTATAGAAGAGTCAAAAACTTACATACAGCACCGTTAACCTTAGCATTGCTTTTGAAATGCTCTGCTATTTTCACCTCAAACTTGGAAAATCTAACATTTCTAATGTCTATGATGGTTAAAATTCTGTTTTAAAGATATTGTCTGAGAACCAAACCAGTACTTCTCTTGTTCATTCCTGCTGTGTGTAGCTTTGAGCAACTGTGCATCAACTTTGCTAACGAGAACCTGCAGCAGTTCTTCGTCCACCATGTTTTCAAGCTGGAGCAGGAGGAGTATAACCTGGAGGACATCAACTGGCAGGACATTGAGTTCACCGACAACCAGGACGCCCTAGACATGATTGCCATCAAACCTATGAATATCATTTCCCTCATTGATGAGGAGAGCAAGTTCCCAAAGGTAAAAAATTGCTGTGCTGTGTATTTGGATTGCAAAGTAGATTTAGAGATAAGACAAAGCATTTCCAGTTCAGTTCTGAGAACATTTTTATTCATCAGCTGAATGGGGGAAAGCTATAGCCAAGCTATGTGTTTATGACGAGCTGTGTTTTTCTCAGGGAACAGATGCAACCATGCTGAACAAGCTAAACTCCCAGCACAAACTTAATACCAACTACATCCCGCCTAAGCACAGCCATGAGACTCAGTTCGGCATTCAGCACTTTGCTGGAGTGGTGCACTATGAAACTAAAGGTACACATTATTGAATTACTGAGCTGTTGGTAATCTAAGTCAAGTCATTAGCATTTCTATTGCACTTTATACAGTACAGATTGTGTCAAGCAGCTTTTCAGAAAGTCAATTATCAAGATTCTTTAACACCATACATATAGATTTAAGACCAGCATTTCAGAGTGAGATCATTTTATTGTAGATAATAGCAAATACTGTATGACTTACATATGTATAATTCTGAAAACAATAAATAAATGTATTTTAAAATATATTCGTTCAGGTTGTGGTAAGTTAGATTGGTTTTAAGTGTCATTTATAATCATTCATAATCAAATTATGTCATTTTAAATGTCACATTGTTGGAGACGTCTTTGTCGTGACAACTTGACATCGCAAGTCAAAATACCTTGTCATAAATCTGTCATTAACATGACACTCTGAGGCATTATAATTGTCTGATCACTTTTTTAAGTAAAACAAACCGAATTTGTCATCGAAATCTCAATAAAGTGTCAATACTCTAAAATAGTTGTATAATATTAATATTTAATAACATTTTAATAATAAATTCAAATTGTACCAGTGTAATTAAGGTCAAGAAAAGTGACGCAATTATAATGGCCTTCTGACAGTCAAGTTTTTTGCTAGATTTGTAACATATTTTGTTTTCTTGGTCATGTCAAATTGTCATAAAAAAGACAAAGACAGATTTTGATGTTTGTGTCAAGTTATCATAACAAATATATCTGTCATGTTTGCTTTTAAAACGATAATAACTTAGTGACAGTTGTCATAAGCATGCATGAAATCTAATTTAGTTTAGGGAAGTGGGTGGGTGGGATAACCAGTGCTTTTGAAAACACTATTGGTTGGGAGTAGGGAAGGTGAAGGGTGTGCCAGTCGATTGGTCAGTCATTTATTCAGTTAGTCAACTGTGGCCTCTGGTGGATTTACGTGACTACAGGCGCTAATGGCACTAGCGAGAGAAATTTGGGATCTCAAAAACATACACAACGGCTTCTGGTGGATTCGCCAAAACAAAAACTGCAAAACGTAGCTCCTGGGACCAGAAATGTATACAAGGGTATGTAATAAAAAAAACATACTTCCTGGGACTCTCTAGAATTGTACATAGCGCTATGTTTTCAAAATGAGCCTGGGTTGCCCTTCTAATGAAGTGTTACCTAACCTTTCATAGCGCAATTATTGAAACACTTAGAAAAACCCTGGAGTTTTACTTGGGGTTTATTACAAAACTTTTGAACTTTTTCGACTAAAAAATAATTTTACTGTAATCAATGTCAATGAAGTTACTATATATGATTCATCTCCAGATAAAGGGTTAATAGATGAAGAACAGGTTAATTAAAAGTGACAGTAAAGACATTTATAAAGTTACAAATCATTACTAGTTCAATTAAGGATTTGTTTCAGGGAGTGGTTTCAGGCAGTTTTTAACCACATTAAAGTTCCATACATTTCAGGGTTTTATTTAAAGGCCATGTCAGCCTACAACAAAGAAATAAAAGCCTGTGAAGACACTGAGCAATCATATTAAATATTACAGCAGTTACAAAAGACATTTTTTTCTATTTTCATGAAAATGTAAAACCTCTTGTTTCATTGTTCAGGTTTCCTGGAGAAGAACCGAGACAGTCTCCACAGTGACATCATCCAACTCGTCCATTCATCCAAAAACAAGTTCATCAAGCAGATCTTCCAAGCTGATGTTGCCATGGTGATGCCCTTTTCCAATACCCAATCCATATTTGCTCAGCATTAATATGCTCACGACATGCCAGCGTGGCCACAGCTCTCCGAGGGCCAAATGTTGGCCATGCAGGTTTATGGCAGGGTTGCATTTGAAAAGAAAAGACGTGTGCTAGCATAATAGCCTTGAAAGAACACGCTGTGAATGAGAGAAGCGACTGCAACAAATGAGTCTCTAACATGACATTATGAGCACATCTGACTAACCCTGCTGCTGATACTCACTTTTTCTGTGGTAATGTCAGCCCTAATCTCTCTTGGCTGATTCTCAGCACACTTGGCTAACAGCAGTCAATTCTCTGTCTCTCTTTCTGTCCTCCTTCTGTCCTTCATTCCTTTACCTCATGTTTTGGCCTCAGTTTCTGTGTGGCTATATGGAGCCCACTGCAACCCTTCAAAAGGTAATCAATGGTGTGGTTTGTGTCCCTCTCAGACCCCTACCAAACTGCTTTTTCTCAATAGTCCTTGCTAAAACTCCTTCCTGTGGTTTTCTTCTCCTTTGGAAATGGTTTTGTGTTGAAGTAGTCGATGAGGGCACGCTGACATAGTAATTTAATAGCTCTAACAGTGCCATTATTCTCCAAAAAACTGTTCTGGTCTGTTTCTAGTTAGATGCGGCTTGTTCATTATTTAGAGGTTTTTTGTTTGTGGGAGAAATTCCAGTTACTTTTTTTCCTGGCACTGACTGTAGATTGAGGAAGGAAAAACTACTCGATTACTTTTTCTTCACAAAGCATTTGCATTCAGAGTGTAGGGAATAACAGCAAGAAAAGAGACAAACACGAGCAACGAATGAAGATCCAGAAGCAACACGATGAGAGGAAGTATGAAAGAATGATGTTTAACAAAGGCAGGAATGAAAGAAGAAAAGAGAGAAAGGTGATCTGGTGTCTTTGTGTTGTAGGTAGTTTGGGTGTATGTTGTACTTTTGTGTTGGTGTGCAGTTATAAAGTGTGTAGCACAGCAGCGGTCCTCTCCTGTGAGTTTCTCTTGTTCGTGTGTGAGCTGAATGAGGGGATTTGTGTGTTTTCAGGGAATGGAGACGAGGAAACGCTCGCCGACTCTCAGCAGTCAGTTTAAGCGCTCACTGGAACTGCTCATGAGGACGCTGAGCGTCTGTCAGCCTTTCTTTGTGCGCTGCATCAAACCCAACGAGCTCAAAAAGCCCATGGTGAGTAAACCAATATTTCTGTGCTTGTTCCAGGAGATGCAGATGTCAAGTTTAAAAGCAGTAAAGTTGTTAAAAAATTTTAAGTCCCAGAGCCAGTCAAACAGCATTTCAGGATAGTTAATAAAGGTGTCTGTCTGTCTGTCTGTCTCTCTATCTATCTGTCTGTCTGTCTGTCTGTCTGTCACAACCCTTCATATGATATGAGGTCTGGAGATTTATGTATTTAATTATTTCTTGCAATCCAGGACAAGCGTTCTATAGAATGAATTATGTATTCGTTTTTTATTTCGGCCATAGATAAAATATGCATTCAGAAGAATTAATGGATGAATGGGTGCATTTGTTTGCTTATTTTATTATATGGGTAGTCAAATTGGATCATTTACACATTTGGTTCAAAGGCATGAATATGGATTGCACAAACAACTATGTGTAATACAATGTATAAATATGATGTAAAACTACAACATACAATTTGCACACAGATCTATCTATCTATCCATCTATCTATCTATCTATCTATCTATCTATCTATCTATCTATCTATCTATCTATCTATCTATCTATCTATCTATCTATCTATCTATCTATCTATCTATCTATCTATCTATCTATCTATCTATCTATCTATCTATCTATCTATCATCTGTCTGTCTGTCTGTCTGTCTGTTCGTTTTTTATCTATCTGTTTTTATCTATGTTTTTCTATCCATCCATCCATCCTATTCTGCGTTCATTCTGATGTTTTCTTGCATTCTCTTGAATCAGTTCGGAGCAGTTCTGAGCTGTTAAAAAAATCCATACTCTTCTTTCACCAGTTCCTCACAAAAATATCAATTAATAATAACTTTAAGTGAATTTAAGTAGTTTAAGTGAATTACAAGAGTGTTCCCTGTGAGCTGTTTACATTGATTTTGTGACATAAAAGCCAACTTACATAATAGAACTGAAATACACAAGCATCCTTCCTAGTGAGCAGCAAAAATGGGTTTTGTCTTGTTTATCATTTAAAGAGCCTTAAACCAAGTTTTATTTAGAAATCAAAGTAAAAATTCATTTCTTAACCATACATTTCATTAAAAACCAACCAACAATACGAGGAAACTAGTAGACATGTTAAGATAAAGATATTGTCTGAAGAGAATGTATAATACTGATTATGCTAATGAGAAGAAAAAACTTTAAAGTCAAACTCTGAATCGGCCCTCATTCTCTTCTCTGCAGATGTTTGATAGAGGACTGTGTGTCAGGCAGTTGCGCTACTCTGGGATGATGGAGACGATCCGCATACGCAGAGCTGGATATCCCATACGCTATACCTTCGCTGAGTTCGTGGACCGCTATCGGGTGCTAATGCCTGGGGTCAAACCAGCCCACAAACAGGCAAGTCCAAAGCTTTACTGTGTTAATGCAGTCAGCAGCCAATGTTTGCTTGACAGCTTTTCTCAAAGCTTATTTCCACGCAGCCGTTTTTAAAATTCCATCTGGTCATGTTATTTGACAAGTGTGAAGTGCATGAAGGGAGCTCAATCTCTGTCTTCTCACAGGAAGATCTGCGAGGGACCTGTCAGCGTATTGTTGTGTCAGTTCTGCTGAGAGACGATGACTGGCAGATCGGAAAGACAAAAATTTTTCTGAAGGTTTTGCTACGAGTCATTGTTTTCTGAAGATTTTGGTGTTCCAGATTTGTAACTAATTGTGTACCCGGTCTGTATTTGGCATAGGATCACCATGACATGCTCCTGGAAATGGAAAGAGATAAAGTGATCACTGACAAGGTCATTCTCATCCAGAAGACTGTGAGAGGAATGAAAGAGAGGTATGAGGAAAAAGAAAGAGTAAAGATGAGGGGACAAAAACAAAAATAAAATCAAAATCTGATGTGTATCTGTCTCTTTTGTTCTCCAGAACTAAATTCCTGAAGGTTAGAAGAGCTGTGATGTTAATCCAGCGCATATGGAGAGGCTACATCACTAGAAAGCACTACGCTGTGGTGAGTTGTGTCGTTTGTGAAACCTGAGCAGGAATAATCTGTTTGGAGGTTTTGTCTGATTGTTATTATGTCTGTTTTTTCCAGATGCGTGTAGGTTTCTTGCGACTTCAGGCCTTGTACAGGTCACGGAAACTGCATCAGGAGTATCAGGCGACCAGGATACGTGTCACATTGCTGCAGGCCTGGTGTCGAGGACTCCTGGTACGGCGTACTTTTTCCAAACGCTTCCATGCGGTTCTGACAATCCAGGCTTATGCTCGAGGAATGATAGCACGGAGACAGTGCAAGAGACTCAGACTGGAGGTAAATCTTATGTCTGTCCATTCAACAATCCTCCATCCATCGTTTATAATATTCATCTGTCCATCTAAGTATCTAAACATCCATCTGTTTATTCATCCATACATTTGTCCATCTGTCTATTAGTCTGTCAAGTCCATTTATTCATCCATCTATCAATTTATTCATTTTATCCATCCATCAATCATCCGTCCACCCACCATCATACATCTATTGATCTATTTATATATTCATCCATCCATCCACCTATCTGTGTATTCCTCTATCCATCTATGTATTGATCTCTCTCCATTTATCCAACTATTCATTCATTTGTTTGTCCATCCATCTTTCAGTCTGCCTATCAATCTAAACGTCTATCCATCATCTGTTTATCTCTCCATCTATTTGTCCTGCCATCAGTCTGATTAGCCATCCATCCAAACATCCATCAATCCATCCATTAATATTTGATCCATATATTTATTCATCTGTTTTCATCTACATATTCATTTATCGATCGTTCTATGCATCCATTCATCTGTCCATTAATTAGTCAACCTTTTTATCCACCTATACATCAATCATCAGACAATCCACCCATTGACCCATCAATCTTTTTTACATCCATCTATTTATTTATCCTTCTATGCATTTGATTATCCATCCATTCATTTGTCAGCCTATCTGTCTATCCATTTATCCATTTAACTACCTATCCATTTATCAATCGTTCTATGCTTTTATTTATCTGTCCATTAACCAATCAACTTTTCTATCAATCAGTACATCAATCTATACTGTAAGTCTATCCATCCATCAGTCCATCCATAGTTTTTTCATCCTTCTGTTTATTTATCTTTCTATGCATTCCTCCATTCACCCTGTTGTAAATCAGTCTATCAATCCATCTATCCATTAATGATTACACTTCATTTAAGTCTCAATTTACAGTATTAATCTTAATAAACTACTAATTAGCTGTTTATTACTAGTTTGTAGGGTAGGTGTTTTAGGTTTTGGGTAGAATTAGGAATGCAGAATAAAATCATACTTTATAACTACTAATGAACAGTTAATATCTCAATGCTAGGCATGTAATAAGCCAGTAGTTAATAGCATGAATTGTGACCTAAACTCAAAGCAGGGTGCGAGTTATACATTATACCGGGGAGGGGTCTCAAGTTTTTCGGCTATGTTTGGTAATATGTTAAAACATTGAGTTGTTCCCAATGATATTTGTGATATTAAGTAAATTTGACAGAAAAAGTGACAGATTTGCTTTCCTGCACCTATTAATGGATAACCATGAAAGACTGCACATATTTTTAATTTTACTGTTTAACTTCCATGTGTGAGCCAGTGTATAATAAAATACAAACTATGCATCTATATTTACAGACACCCACAAACACCTTTTTTAAAGAAACATGTTTTTTAAACCCTTACACTGTCTGTTGATGCTCTAGATTTGTTTCAAACTGATGAATTAATGTTTTTGAGGCAAACATGCATTCACAATGGTATGAACCATTATAGCGGTGTTCAACTGTACATTGAAATTGTCTATTATTTCAATTATTAATATTATTTAAGAAGCAGATCAGAGCAAACTATTTCTTAACTATTAAAGGGCAGACCCCTCATACATCTTGTTTTGATGTCCTTCAGGTTGGGTCAATCGTTAATTAGGGGGGTTGGACCCCCCAAACCCATTACCCATTAATGAGTATATCTATTCATGTGTCTATCCATCCACACATCCATTCATCCATACATCTCTGTGTCCATCCATTGATCTCTCTATCTATCCATCACCTGTCCATCAATCAAACAAGCCACCATTCAAAGTTTGTTATAATAAACCCTTGAATCTGTATATTTATTTGTGCAGAATTAAAGTTTGTTCTCTGTTTAGCGGGATCGTCGGTTAGAAGCGGAGCGGCAGCGTCTGGCTGAAGAGGAGCGTCTGAAAAACCAGATGACGGCGCGCAGGGCTCGGGCTGAGGCAGCCAGGAAGCATCAGGAGCGCCTGGCGCAGCTCGACCGAGAGCAGGAGGAGAGAGAGCTGGCAGAGCGCAACGAGACACGGAGGAAAAAAGAGCTTCTAGAGCAGATGGAGAGAGAAAAAAAGGAGCCAGTAAATGACTCCGACATGGTGGACAAGATGTTCGGATTCCTGGGCAATGCCAATTCCCTTCCCAACCTGGAGGGTGAAGCACCAGAAGGGTTTGAGGTGTGGAGCTTTGTCAATTTCAACCTAAATTGCATTGCTTGGCTTGAATCTTATCTGAGTTTTCTTAATGTTTGGATGTTACAGGATCTAGAGAATGCTCCAAAACAGTTTAAGGAAGTCATTGATGAGCCTCTTCCACTTCCTGACGATGAAGAGGAGGACCTATCGGAGTATAAGTTTGCAAAGTTTGCTGCAACCTACTTCCAGGGAAATGCAACACACATGTATGTACGCCGGCCACTGAAACAGCCTCTTTTGTTTCATGAAGATGAAGGAGATCAGCTAGTAAGCATTTATTTATTTATTAGTCATCTCTATGCTTACCTGCTTACTGTAAAATAGGATTAAAAGCTGCATTGACTGTATCATATGTGTTTTTAGGCTGCTCTGGCTGTGTGGATCACTGTGTTGAGGTTTATGGGAGATCTTCCAGAACCCAAATATCATATCAGTATTAGTGATGGCAGTGAGAAGATACCAGTTATGACTAAAATCTATGAGACGTTGGGAAAGAGAACCTACAAAAGGGAGCTGCAGGCCTTGCAGGTGGATGAGGAGGTGAAAATGAGTCTTAAAATTCACATTGTCTAAATGAATAATTTCTACATGTAATACATTTCAGCAATATAAGGTTCCTGTTTATACTTACAGAAACATGAAGTCCACTCCAAAGACACTTATACTCTATCAGTAAGCACTCTTTCAGAACACCCTCAAAGGCCCCAATGGGCCATATGCACAGCTAGTGTTTTTCAGCCAATGGTGAACTTCCAGGGAAAGCTTTATGTGACTATTTTCAATTTCACAAGGTTTCTTTTTACATCTTCTTGTTTTGTCTGAGATCCATTTTATATTGTATATAAATCAGCAGTGAAAATTACAGATTTTTCAAGAAATCAGATCTTAAACTTGACACTTTTGTATAGACCTTTTTCTTAAAAACGCAAAATTACCCATTATGCTTTGCGTGTATGCGCAAGGAGAATGCGAAGAACTTCCGGTCGGCAGCTGATACATGTAAACAGTCACATTTGGACAGCTTTGAAACGATAGTTTTAATCTATTTTACCTGCTTTTATCCTCTTTGAACTAATACTATTGTCCATCAGCACCATCTCCTTTACTGATCATTTAAAGAAATGTGTTCTAATAGGATGGCAAACAGCTGCTGTGAGACATTTTCCCCTCATTGTCAGACGGCATCTTCTGCAGTGTAGATGAAGCCTTGTCATCACTAAAGTCAACATTTTCTCTTTATTTCAAATATATAACCAGCCCAAACAAATGTAATTCACCAAAAGGTTTGACACACACACGTAGCCTGTACTGTGCCACTGACACACTGATTTAATAACTGTGACAAAGTGAAAATATAGGCTAGCGTCATTACGAAATGACAGAAAAACACAAACCATGGTAAAAATAACACACAAAATAAAACACAAATGGCTCGCGATTAGAATAAACAGCAAATCAGCCAGCAGAGTATCAATAACAGACTTTTATTGCTCATTTTTGTAAATTGCACGACTCTCATACCTGTTAAGTTTCATGCCAGTACTCTGGTTCGCTCTCTCTCTCTCTCTCTCTCTCTCTCTCTCTGTGTCTTTGTGTGTGTGTGTGTGTGTGTGTGTGTGTGTGTGTGTGTGTGTGTGTGTGTGTGTGTGTGTGTGTGTGTGTGTGTGTGTGTGTGTGTGTGTGTGTGTGTGTGAGTGTGTGTGTGAGTGTGTGTGTGTGTTAAAGAGCCGCTGAGGTAACAGCTGACAGGCCGGGAACGCACACACACACACACACTGACGGCAGACACGTGAACTAGGAGAATGTTTTTCTCATGTTTCTGACGCGCTTGAACCACATGTGACAGATTATAACGGCTTTAACAGACACATTTCTAAGTTGTGTGTCACAAAAACACTCTGTTATCCATTAAAAACGTTATTGAAACCCATTTTCGGAATGCAAATTACCAGTTGTACACGCTGTAAACGGAAGTTTTTAGCATTCTACCGGAAGACGCTGGTCGCTATGGCGCCCTCCATGCAGCAGCCATGAAAAAGGTCTATAGGATGGTAATTCACTGGAAGCCCTGGGGCTGGCTGACTGAAATTAAAAGTCTGTGTGCACATTCCCCATTCCTGATTTCTAGTTTTTCTAAATTTAAATAATTCCTGTCAATAAGGAAACAAGGCCTGTTTGAGTTGTATTAGTGGTGTCTTGTCATTATGTCTAAGAGACACTAATTCACCACTGTAATACACTGATACACATGCAATTTAATTCATTTTTAACTGTTTTCATTCCCAACATTATGTGATACTAATTCCAAAGAGAGTCAGTTAATTATTTTTATTTATTTATTCATTTATTTTTACCTCTTTATGTGGTTGTTTATGTTTGTGTATGTAGCGATGCATTGTAAAGCCAGAGAAAAAAATCCACATTAAAGTAATAAAGTAAATTAAACTATTACAAAGACAGAGCTAATGTATCTGTGTGCTAGGAAAAAAATAGCAGGAGTTTAAACTGGTAATCCGTGTGTTTCGGCTAGAGTTTCAGAGGCACATGCTGTAAAGACTCAACCCTTTTTTAGGAAATAGTTTCCTTGTAAGATCAGGCTGACAGTCTTTATTAATCATAGTTCAACATTTACTAATGCATTGTTAAAATCCTCAAAACAAACACATCGTCAAAACACATTGCTTATCATGAACAAATACTATAATAAATAAATTGTGCATTATTTGTTTATGTTAGTAAATTCATTAACTAACATTAACTAATACAACCTTATTGTAAAGTGTTACAGACTTATAAAATGAACCCTTAAATGAAATTGAAAATTGTTGTAAATAATCACTGATATAAGGTATGAAAGATTTCTTCATTGTTTGCAGAGTTCCACAACTGACATCCAGAAGAGAAACAGTGTTCGTCATAAGCTGGTGTCCCTCACATTAAAGAAGAAATCAAAGCTTACAGAGGAGGTCTGTAACTAGCTATTTATTGTTTTTACCTAGGTTTTAGGCATATTAAAGATTAATGATATATATATATATATATATATATATATATAAAAGTCAAATGAAGATTATTTTGCTCAATAGTTGTTTTGAAGTTCCTTTGACAAGTGTAATATGCACTGTAAAAATGTTATGTCAGTACAAAAAAAAACATCATCCTTATTTCCTTTCGCTTTTTCTTGTTCACTTATCTTTCAAAAACATCTGCACTGACCTAAAACTATTTCAGCAATACAAATAACATTTAGTTGGGTTAACATAAGATTTTTTATCAGTTTTCTGGAGAGCTGAACTACTCTGTAACAAAACTTTTTAAGTTGTTCCAACTGAACTTTTTTGTCTGCAAAACTGGAATGCCTGAAGTTGAGTGAACTTAATCCTTATTTCCTTTAATTTTTTCTCATGTACTCAAGATGTATTTATTTTTCACCTTTAATTGATAGAACAGTGGAGAGTATAGAGAGGAAAGCATGGGTAAAGAAGAGAGGGGAGGGATCTGCATAAGACCTCGAGGCAGGAAACAAACTTAGGTCACCGTGAACACCTGAGTGCCATGTGTCGATGCCTTAACCACTTGTGAAAATATCAGTTGCACTAACCAAAAATGTCTGAAGTTGAGTGAACAAAAAACTCTTGTGGAAATTGGTACTAAAAATAATACATTATCAGAACAAACAAACATAGTTCAATTGAGAAGATAAAAATAAAGCAGAGACAAATGTTAAAAAAAACATTTATTAGACACAGAATTACAAACAGGACAGGAGGTAAAACAACAATAAAGGTAAACAGGACAAGGATCAAAACATGGCAGAACAAACCGGGAAAAATGCTTTGTAAAGCTTCACTTGCGAAGCATGCCTTCCTGTTTTTTTTTTTTCCAATTGAACTATGTTTGTTTGTTCTGAAAATGTAGTATTATGTTTTTTGTTCACTCAACTTCAGACATTCCAGTTCTGCAGACAAAAAAAGTTCAGTTGGCACAACTTAAAAAGTTTTGTTACAGAGTATTTCATCTCTCCAGAAAACTTATAAATAATCTTATGTTAACTCAACTAAATGTTTTTTTGTATTACTGACAAATACTTTTAGGTCAGTGCAGCTGATGTTTTCAAAAGTTGAGTGAACAAGAAAAAGCGAAAGCAAATAGATTATGTTTTTGTTTTTGTTGTACTGACTTAACATTTTTTACAGTGTTTCCTTGCTGAATAAAAGTAAACAATAGAATATTCAGCTATGATTCAATCTTAAACACTCTTCCTGTCTCTGTTAGGTGACTAGAAGGCTGACGGACAGCGATTACAGTCTACAGGGAAATAGCATGCTGGAAGATCGACCCACCTCAAATTTAGAAAAGCTACACTTCATCATTGGCAATGGCATTTTACGTCCAGCTCTCAGGTCATTACATGAAGAAACTTAATTGTTGGAGCTGCTAAATACACACTCTATCTGAATACTTTCACACGTGGGCTTGTTTCCTTCCTCAGAGATGAAATCTACTGTCAGATCTGTAAACAACTGAGCCAGAATGCATCTAAAAGCAGTCATGCCCGTGGCTGGATCTTGCTCTCCCTCTGTGTGGGCTGCTTTGCTCCTTCGGAAAAGTTTGTAAAAGTAAAAAAAACTTATTTTTTGCACTAGTCAGCAGGAAAATATTCTCATACATTGTTAATGATCCTAATGATCCAATCTTGCTCACCTCTTTATATTTCATGCCTATTTATCTTCAGTATCTGCGGACGTTCATTAACAGCGGGCCTCCTGGTTATGCGCCGTATTGTGAAGAGAGACTAAGAAGAACTTTTGCAAATAAAACGAGAACTCAGCCTCCTTCTTGGCTTGAGCTGCAGGTATTTTAAGATTAAATAAAGCCGTTAGAGGTTGAGTTGGGAGAATGTTTCGGAAAGTATGAATCGCTTGGCTGGATCCTTCTATCTTTCTTCCTTTAGGCCACTAAATCTAAGAAACCCATCATGTTGCCGGTGACCTTCATGGACGGCACCACTAAGACCCTGCTGACAGACTCTGCCACAACAGCTGAAGAGCTCTGCAATGCTCTGTCAGATAAAATCGGCCTGAAGGATCGCTTCGGCTTCTCCTTATACATTGCACTTTTTGATAAGGTACGCTCACTGATACTTTGTTTTTACACAAATAAATTATATAAAATTAAAAAAGATTATTTTCACACCTAATTTATGCTACTTATATATAAAAATGGAGTTGCTGCTTTTGACAGGAAGTCTCTAGTACTCATCAGGACTGCATTTGTTTGGTCTAAAATACAGTAAAAACAGAAATGTAGTAAAGTATTATTACATTTTCAGCTAATGGCATTCTTTCTTAAAATGTATTTTTTAATTCACTTGATTCCTATGAGGTGTTTCTTAGTACTGGGTTGCAGCTGGAAGGGCACGGCTGCGTAAAACATATGCCATATAGTTAGTGGTTCGTTCCACTGTGGTCATAAATAAGGGACTAAGCCGTATGAAAATGATGACGATGATTCCTATAATTTAAAGCTGAACTTAAGCAGAAGACATGTACAAAATTGTATTTTTAACAGTTTTAAATTAGAAAATAAACAATTACAGTCTCACAAATTCTTGTTTATTGTAACAGAATACACCGAAATGTACGATTTTTAAGAGCTTAGAGCAGGGGTGCCCAAACTTTTTCTTATGAAGGGCCAAAAACCAAATTTTATTGCGGGTGGTGGGCCGAAAGTAAATATACTAAACTCCATTGCATCACACTTGTCATGGGTAATTTCCTCATTTATTTCATTTTTAAAAAAATAACTAGAAAACATTAATTTGTTGTATGATGAACGTATTACAGTAAAAACAAAAACAATCCTGTTTATAACAGAATGGAGTCACACTATTCAAGCTGCACCAGTTTTTGCCTTGATTTGCTCACCAAAGTCTTCTGCATTGTCCTGTATCCGATGTGTCACTGTTTATATTTTTTAAAAATCTAATTCAGTTGCAACATTTTATTTCAGTTTGCTTTTTTTGTTGCTCAGCAATAGAAAGAAAAACAAAAAAGGGTTGCATTAAATTAGAAATGACGATCTCTGTAAAAGGCCCTAGCCCTGCCAAAGAGCTTAGAATTACCTAGAGGCGACACTCAATAGAAAGTTCCATTGCAACAGCAGCGCCCAGCAACAGCCCTGGATTCCGCCAATTTGGAGTGAAAGCCATTGGCTGTCCATTGGATCTTATTGCTGTCGCGATGGCAAGCAGGTGCTTTACTTTTTATTCATTTATTTAAAAAGCACATTAAAGCTGAGATACAACCTGAAAGACAACAACACAGCACTTACTATGACAGTCAGCACTTTTAGTAGTTTATTTTACAGACTTATATATATAAATATTAGATTAAGTTAAATTAAATAATTATTAAATTATTAAATATTTATTACAAAATAAATATTTATTTTGGAGGGATTTGCTCGTACTTCCTGATTGGTGGAATTTTTCATATTATGGGTAATGTAGTTTTCCTCACAATTTCCACTTTTAAACTTTTTTTTTTTTAAATCAAGTTTTAAAAATATGTGTTTAAATAGAATTTTCAATGAATTTTCACTTCTGGATTCCAAACTGAAAAAACAAATTTCAGGGTTTTTCTCCATCTAATGTAAATATACGAAGCTTAACATAAATGACCATATAACAGTCCAAAATCCATATTTAGGCAGCTAAAAAGTAATCCACATGATCTCAGCTGACAAATATGTGTCATCCCTAACATAACAATCAGCCGTTTTCATAAATGTAATCGTGTTCATGACTTCACACAAAACATATGCACTTTCAGAAAGTCATTCATGATTTTGGAAAAAAAAACACCTCAATAGCTATGTTTCCTTTCAAAGATTAATAAATTTAAATATTATTATATTAAAAATTAAATATGAATTAAATTTATATGCAAAACAGAAATATCACATAAAAGACATGTGAATAAAGTAGCTTTTCCATCTAATGAGAGAACAAAATCATCACTTCCTGATTAACTGGCGGTAAATATGACCAGTAAAAATGTGGTGTCGTTTGAAGGTGTAAGATGCGGAGCACAGACGCTCTTGACAATTCTGTAGAAAATTAATAATATAATAACACTAAGACTGACATGGTTACAGCATTTTAGAATGACCAAAATAACATTTACAATGTTTTACCTGCTGGTTTGTCCATTCACACACATTTCTATCATTACATGATCTCTTATAACAAAATCACATGACTTTTTATAACACTGGAATTTGTTCGGTAAAAGTGTTTCCATCGTAGCTTATGCGCATCTTTTCTTATTGAATAAAAAGTTAATTCTACTCAGTTATGCACATGTTTTTTATGTGCATTTTCAAAACTTTCAGCTACAGCTTTTGGTCAATAGTGTATGTGTCCTTCTTTATATACGTTTATTTGGTCCAATGTGCATCAGGTCTCATCACTGGGCAGTGGGAAGGATCATGTGATGGATGCGGTGTCGCAGTGCGAGCAGTACGCTAAAGAGCAGGGGGCTCAGGAGCGCAACGCCCCCTGGAGGCTGTTCTTCAGGAAGGAGATCTTCACCCCCTGGCACAACCCAGCAGAGGACGGTGTGGCCACCAACCTCATCTACCAGCAGATTGTGCGCGGGGTCAAATTCGGAGAGTATCGTTGTGATCGGGTGAGAGCTGTCATGTGCATGTTTCTTATTTTAAAAATGTAAGTACTTTTTAAACTATGTTGTGTGTTGTCCCAGGAGGAGGATCTGGCTGAGCTGGCCTCTCAGCAGTACTATGTGGATTATGGGCCGGAGATTTTACCAGAACGTCTTCTGAGCCTTATTCAATCCTACATCCCAGATCGAGAAATCACTCCCTCTAAGACAGTGGAGAAATGGGCTCAGATGATAATAGCGATTCACATAAAGGTGCATATGTATACATATATACATCTTTTTTTATTTTATTTTTTCCATTGTAATTGTATTTACTATTTATGGACTTTTTGCATTTCATGGTGTTTTTTTGTAAGCTAAATACTTGCCTAAATAATAAAAAAATACTTAGTTTACAGTTTCAGTTACATCTATGCAATTACTCAGCTTCTGCTGTGACTTGATTTTCAAAATTTTATTTCTGCAAAAATGTACAGAATGAAAGACAAATTGTGCTGTTGTTTTAAAAGTAATTCATTACACTCAGAAAATGACATTTTCTGCTTATTCAAATTACTTATGTAAAATGAGCTGAAACAACACAATTCCTGTTTTTTATTAGGTCCAATCCATGATTTTTTGTAAAAAATGTATAAGTTATCCTAATTCAGTTATGTTGCCCCTACACAAATCGATTCTATAATTAAGCAAAATTTTGATTCATTTCAACACAAGTATATTATAGTATATTACCATACATATTTTCCTTCAGCTTAGTCCCTTTTTTAATTGTTTGTATCAAATGCTAAACTTTGCTGTAAAAAGAATCTACCTACGGTTACTAATAAAGTCAACTCAACTTTATCAGTTATATGTATTATATTATATTATATTATATTATATTATATTATATTACATTACATTACATTACATTACATTACATTACATTATATTATATTATATTATATTATATTATATTACATTACATTACATTGTATTATATTATATTATATTATATTACATAACATTGTATTATGTTATGTTATATTATATTATATTATATTATATTATATTATATTATATTATATTATATTATATTATATTATATTATATTATATTATATTATATTATATTATATTATATTATATTATATTATTCATACATTCATTTATTTTTTGGCTTAGTCTCTTTATTAATCCGGGGTCGCCACATATGTTTTACACAGCGGATGCCCTTTCAGCTGCAACCCATCTCTGGGAAACATCCATACACACTCATTCACTCATTCACACTGCAGACAATTTAGCCCACCCATTTCACTTGTACCACATGTCTTTGGACTGCCCGGATTAATAAAGGGACTAAGCCGAAAAAAAAAATGAATCAATGAATATTTTGATAGTTTAACATTATATTAGCTTATTTATAATTAGGCACTTTATGCTTTTCAATTTTCTATGGCAGAGGTGAAAAATGCTGATTTGTATGTACAGCATGTACAGTATAACCAAACAATTAACATTAGACATCTACCCTAGTGTCTTTATTACTGTGTCTGACTGACCTCCCGATATGTTCTCAAGGACAGCAGTTTCATTATCTTGCAGCAGTACCTGTATCTCAGCTCAGTGCTAATATAATCTCAAGCTATAATTAACTTTATAATCTAAATGTATGCCGTGGGCGACCTTCACACCATTCAGCTCCATACCCTGCTGTCTGCTCTGATACAGTACAATCACAGGACCCTGAGTAATTGAGACAATCCCCACTTAATGGTCACCGTCTTGTTATGGATTTGTAGTTAAAGTCAGCGCTGCCGTCTGAATGCTAGCTCGTAGCAGTTGATGGACTGAGTGGCTTGAGATTTGATTGATGATTCCTGTAGGAAAATGAATCTCATGTACCCGCTCTCGAGGGTGGAGACCGTTTGAATTACCCTTCTACCTTTCATGTGCTAAAGTGATGGGCATGAATGTTTAATAAAGCTGGCGATCAATTTATGGATTGTGTGGGAATGCATGAGCCTGTGAGACATTCTGCTTATAAGCAGGTGACGAGAGCCAGGGTAATTGTCTCTGAGGTAATGGCTGATATTGTGTTGCTCTGAGAGCCAGATATTGACCAGTGCATCTCCACAGGGAATCTACACACAGAAGAGGTTCGACTCGCAAAGAGTGAAGGAGGAGGTGGTGGATTTCGCTCGATTTAAGTGGCCTTTGTTATTTTCACGCTTCTATGAGGCCTTCAAATTCTCAGGTACAAATAATTATTTCAAACAAAATGTAAACGTTCTGAGTTAGTAGGGTGAATCCATCAGTCAGAATCATCTTTAAGAATAGATTCAACTGTTTCAGTGAGAACATCAGGTTTCTTTGTGTATTTTTGTAAATACGAATGTGTGTACTTTTTCTATTTTAATTACCAATGTCCTACAGATTGTTTATAACAGAGATGCCCAAGCTAGTGCCCGAATGACAAACTAAGATAACCTTTGATTTGGCCCTCCATCCCTTCTGAGAGGAGAATGATGGGGAATTTTGAGGGAATGTCTTTAACAGATATTGTCATTTCTAATTTAACTTATCTTTAGTTTTTTAACTGTTGATCTAAAAAAAGCAAACTAAAACTAAATGTTTTAATTGAATGTTGTGAATGAATCAATTTTTTTTTATTGAATCCAGTCACTTGATGAATAGCAGAAGACATCAGCAAGCGAATCAAGGCAAAGTGTATTTTTTTAGTGTTATAAATGAGATTTTTCATATTTTGTATTTAAGATGTTCATTATAAAATGTACAAAAAATGTATAATTATTAATACTATTTTAAATGCAACAAATTATAGTATCAATTAAATTAAACATTAAATTAAATAATGAATAATAATTATGAATTAGGAAATTAAATTGACAACTTTACAGTTTGGTATATTTACCTCCGGCCCACTACCCCCAATCAAGTTTAGTTTTTGGCCCTTCATAAGTTTGGGCACCCCTGGTTTAATGGTCTGATGGGTCTGATGGATGCCGACGCACTGTATCTCAGTAAATTATAAATATTTAAAATAGGCACTATCCTTACAAATAAACTGCATAGTTGCAATCTAAACAACTCTAGTCTCGCCTAAAAAGCCTCAAAAGTACATGATGTTGTCCAACAGCTGCAATATTTGTCAAACTGTAGTGACTTTATTGATCTGCTGTCACTCTATGTGGGCGGAGTAATACAGAAGGATGAGAAGGCTGTGCCAGTTCTGACATTGCAGAACATCGCACGGCTATCAGCCAAGATTCGAGAACCAGACAGAACTATTGTATAAAAACAAAAAACATATTGATGCTGTTAGGTGAAAGCTAAACTGTTCTTTCTGTTCATTCACAGGGCCGAGTCTTCCAAAGAATGATGTTATAGTGGCTGTGAACTGGACGGGAGTCTACTTTGTGGATGAGCAGGAGCAGGTCCTTCTAGACCTTTCTTTCCCAGAGATCACTGCGGTCTCCAGCAGCAGGTGCATTACATTATCCAACCAAACACACTTCATTTGATCTAAGTGCTCACTGTATTATACATTAACTCATTTTCATCCACTTTTAATCAATGTGCTTTCAGAGGTGGAAAACTGCAGGGACAGAGCTTTACCCTGGCCACTATTAAAGGAGATGAGTACACCTTCACATCCAACAACGCTGAAGACATCCGGGATCTGGTTGTGGCTTTTCTAGAGGGCCTGCGTTCCAGGTCAAAGTTTGTGGTGGCAATGATGGACAGCCATTATCCAGGTGAGCTCACAGTTGGGTTTAACTTTAATAACATTGTATTTGATTTGGGCCCCAAAACAATTAGGTTGAGCATAATTAATAAAACATCTAAAAAATGTTTTTGTTTGTTTTTTCAGCTGGGCAAGATGCTTCGTTCCTGAGATTCTCAAAGGGAGATCTGATCTTTCTGGATGAGCACACTGGAGAACAGGTCCTGACTTCAGGCTGGGCTCATGGGGTCAATGACCGAACCAAGAAGAGAGGAGACTTTCCTGCGGACAATGTCTATGTGCTGCCCACCATCACCAGGCCACAGTATGATATTGTGGTGAGTGGGCTTTCATCCAATACATTCCTTGTACATTGTCAGAAAACAAAAAAATGGACTTATGTAGGAATTTTCACTTTTTTAATCACCAATTTGTAAACAGCATGTGGGAAACCAAACCTTTTCCAACTTTTAGACTGTTTTGCAGGGAAAATTAAAAAAGAAAACAATGTTTACATATGTGCAACAGGCTGCATTTGGTTTTGGCTCATGAAATGAATATTTAGCTTCTGTTTGTGTTTCTTGCAGTCATTGATCATCATGTCTCCAGACCAGCGTAAGGACTCTGTAAATTTGTCCCAGCAGAATCTGCTGGACAGTGGGGAGAAAGTCCAGCCGTACACTTTAGAGGAGTTCTCCTACGATCACTTCAGGTGCTATGACCCACTTCGAGACCTTTCAAAGGGCTTTATTGTGTCCTAAATTCTTTTTATTCTAATTATTATATTTTAACATTTAAATATGAATTATGAAATATGATTTATAGTTAAATATGCTATACATACTTAATATTACTATAGTTATATTCTCTTGTTTCAAAAAATTCTAAATTTTCGGCATAAGTTGAAATTTTCCGAATTAAAACAAAAAAAATTACAGCAGAATGCTACACATTTTTGAATAAAGGAATTAGCAAACAATAAAGAACAAGTCAATATTCTACATATTTTTCCCATGCACCTGCAAAAAAATGTTTGTGAGTGTGTGTTCATGCAAAAAGCTATTTCTGTTATACTGTATATTTTACATTATCTTGGTTGCTTTCCATCCTCTAGACCACCTTCCAAGAGCACCCTGAGCCGCGTGATCATCAATAAAGGTAGAGGGAAGGATAAAATCTGGTGCTGCACCAGAGAACCTCTGAAACAGCCTCTGCTGAAAAAAATCCTCAGTCATGAAGAGCTGAGCCAGGACGCCTGCCAGGCCTTCATTGATATCCTCTAGCATTATATGTGTTGTGATAAAAATAGTGACAAACAGTGCCAGTAGCTCAGAGTGCAACCATTTATGTCAAGCACTGCAGGCCTAATATAATGGATCCTCATAATCCAAAATGAATGTCAATTTTTTTTTCTTATTTTTTTTAATAACCTAAATCTTTGATGGGTTTTCTACTTCATGTTTCAGGAACAGACTTCATTTATATTACATCAAGCCATACAATTTTAATAGCACTAGTTCCTTTCAAAAGTGTTCATTTTATGTTCTGAATGAGTTACTGTGGTTGTCTGATTTTGGCCCTTGACTTTGTTGCACCCATTCTGAAGTACATGGGCGATTACCCGTCAAAGAGGAGCCGCTCGGTCAATGAGCTCACTGACCAGATCTTTGAAGGAGCTTTAAAAGCTGAACCTTTAAAAGATGAGATCTACTGTCAGATCATCAAGCAGCTCACTGAGAATCATGTGAAGTAGGTTTTTACACTTTATATTTGTTGGGTTTCATTCACTGAGTTTACTTTTACTGCCTCTGAGAGTTTGGGGAATATTTAGCTTTTTTCTGTGCATAGTTGAGGGATGTCAGAATCATTTTATTGTTATAATTATTGTTAGTAGTAGTAGTAGTAGTTACAACAAAGGGATAATTCATTTAGGACTCAAAAATTACTTGTTTCAAACATGGGGTGCATTTCCCAAACAACGACATAACTCGCGGCTGAACTGTCATAGTACGATGCATTGTTTAGGAAAAGAACGATGTAGTGACGAGTGTTTTCCAATACCGTACTTTCTCTGTCGCAGATCCATCGTTTGAACCACAGTAGTTATAACATAAAATGTCCATAATGATGCTCTAAATGGGGTGGAGTAACAACTTCTTTAGAGAAAAGCCCAATAATATTTTGTGGAAGTTATATTGTTTTACACGCACATGCATATAAAAAAAATCTAATATTAGTTTTGTTAAAAACATGCACGCGTTTCCCATGTTAATTAAAATATATGTAAATGACACATATAGAACCTATGTTTCCTTTACAAATATTATTGAGAATATTCCATATAAAATAACTTAGCCAACATGTATACTAAACTTATATGTAAATCATGTAAATAGATAATAGTTCTAGGCCTAATTTACAGTAGGCTATTTATTAGGAAATGAAGAAAAAAATCCTACTTAAAAAATAATAATAAAGCAAAAAATACACAATGTACTACTTAATAATAACAACAACATTAATAACAATAATAATAATAATAATTTTTATTATTATTAATGTTGTTGTTATTATTAAGTAGTACAATGTGTATTTTTTTTTTTTAAGTCTACTTTTACAAGTTGACACAAGCGAACTACTGCAGAAATGTTCTAACCAACAGGCCCATGTCATATACACCCCCATCCCCCCCCCCCCCCCCCTTCACTTTGCTAACCGGTCACTATCGTTTTCACTTTCGGGTTGAGGGCTCCATAATCGACTTTTGCCTAAAGTGGCAGTTCAGCTTGCTCCGGCCCTGCCTATAGGAGTGATGACTTTAATGCTTTTTTTATAATTTCAAGTTCAAATGTTAGAATGTTCTAAATGTATAGGGCATAGGGGGGATAACTGGGAATAGAACAATTATTACTGGGAATTTTGCTTCTAACTACAGCTCTAGAGGTGTAGTTGTATGCGTACAAGTTTGCGATGAAGTTTGTGAATGTTTGTTTTAACAATGGATTTGGGAAACATCAAATCAACAAACTATGTTTGTAACAACGGAACTTGCGACCTTCGTTGGCTAGTGATGGTTTTCGGAAATGCACCCCTATTTGACTTTCTTCATATAAAAAAAGCTATTTTAAAGAAAGATGAAAACCTGTATCCGATGACTTTCTTAGTATTTGTTTTTCCTACTATGGATGTTAAAAGTTTTCAACATTCTTAAAAGTATCTTCTTTTGTGAAACTCAAAGGTTTATAACCTCGAGAGTGAGTAAATAGTAAGTTTTAGTTTGGGGGTTAAATGTGTCTATAATAAAATATTACGTAATACTCCTTACATCAAAGTATTAAATCTTTTTTATATTTTATTTATCTTTATTATATTCTATTCTTTACAACAAAAAAAAACATTTATGAACATTAAAAATGTCTGATGTGGTTTTTATTGTTTGTTTGGGTTTTTTATGCACATGTGTGGTTTGGCTTTCAATTAGGCTTAAATATCTGTGAAACTTCATCAATAAATCATTAACTTGCATGCAAATGTTTGCTTTAAGCACAGTTATTAAATGAAAGCCATTACTGTAAAAGCAGTTGGTTTGGCTTGTAAATCTGTAACATTCTGTCCTCTAGTGGTCAGCCTGCAAAAAGCCAATGTCTAATGAATGGCCGTTTGAATGGTCTGACCGTGGTGATGTATGTGTGTGTGTGTTTTTGTGTTCAGATACAGTGAGGAGAAGGGCTGGGAGCTGCTCTGGCTCTGCACTGGACTCTTTCCTCCCAGTAACATGTTGCTCCCTCACGTCCAGAAGTTCCTGCAGTCCAAGAAACATCATCCGGTTGCTCCAGACTGCATGCAGAGACTGCAGAAAGCCCTGCGGTAACTACCCCAAACACACTTAAACATCTATCGCTACTGTTACATGCATTCCTTTAAAACATTTTCTCCTGATGGACAGTAATGGGTCCAGAAAGTATCCTCCTCACCTTGTAGAAGTGGAGGCCATTCAGCACAAAACCACCCAGATCTTTCACAAAGTGTACTTTCCTGATGACACTGATGAGGTGAGAGTTTAACTACATTTTGAAGGTGTTATTGTCTTCTCTCTATCTTTTTTTTGTTTTTGCTCTCTGTGTGTATTTCTGCTTGAGGATGCGAAGCAAATGTCCTATTGTGTTTTGACCTCATTTGAATCTGCAATTACAGGGATAGTTCACCTAAAAATTACAATGAAATGTTATCATTTACTCACTATTCAATTGTCACACTCAAAATAAGGTATTTTGAAAAATGTTATAAAATGTAATATATAATAATTGACTTCCGTTGAATTTGTTTTTTTTCTTTTCTCTGGATGTCAATGGTTACTCCGTTTCCAACAATCATTAAAATATCTTATAAAAAGAAACTATGAAGAAACTCATAATGAAATAAAGGTTTGGAACCACATAAGGGTGTGTAAATAATAAGTACAGTTTTACTTTTGGGTCAGCTGTCCCTTTAAGGCAAGATACTGCAGATAAATAGGGTAAAAATACTAGTTATCAGCATTTTTCCAGTTAATTTTCTAAAATTGCAGTAAGTCAGGTCGAATTTATTTATTACATATTAGAATCAAATGACTTACATTTTATGTTTGTGGCTCTGTACACAATATATATCATATGGGCAATATAATATAATATAATATAATATAATATAATATAATATAATATAATATAATATAATGAGGCGACGCAGTGGCGCAGTGGGTAGTGCTGTCGCCTCACAGCAAGAAGGTAGCTGGTTCAAGCCTTGGCTGGGTCAGTTGGCGCTTCTGTGTGGAGTTTGCATGTTCTCCCTGCGTTCGCGTGGGTTTCCTCCGGTTGCTCCGGTTTCCCCCACAGTCCAAAGACATGTGGTACAGGTGAATTGGATAGGCCAAATTTTCCGTAGTGTATGAGTGTGAATGAGTGTGTGTGGATGTTTCCCAGAGATGGGTTGCAGCTGGAAGGGCATCCGCTGAGTTAAATGTGCTGAATAAGTTGGCGGTTCATTTCCCTGTGGCGAACCCGGATTAATAAAGGGACTAAGCCGAAAAGAAAATAAATGAATGAATGAATGAATGAATGAATGAACAATATAATGATTTTACAGGTGGGATCTATTTTTATCACTCCATAATTAATAACCTCAATAACCCAGAAATAAAATAATTTAAAAAAATTTTGTAGACTAAAATGATGTACATAATCTGGCAAATGATGTAAAAACATATATCTCTTTAAAAACTTTTAGAATACAGATATGAGTAAAGTGTGATGTTTGGTGTAAGTACTGCTGAGGTGGAGATTTATAAAATTCCTTTATAAATGTGTTATAATGGAAATATACAGATGCTAATTCATGAAGCGAAACAAAAGCAGCACTTAAAGGGGTATTTCAGATGGTTACTTTCCATTAAACTGAACAAACATTATAAAAATCGGAGGAGCACAAAATCTCAAAACTGACTTGTATGTAAAAATAGTACAGCGTCTCGCACAGAAAACGGCAGAGGGATGAAGTGTGAACAGATGCACGAGTCTAAAAATTCATTTTGTGTTGGGTCTAATTCATACCTTTCAACATTTAGATGTAAAAATACAGGATACCTCAGTCTCGCTTAAATACTGTACAGATCTATTATAAAAACAGTTGATGGTCATGTTTGCTTTTTATTTTGTGTATTTGTCTGTTTAAAAACTGTAATGATCCAGATGCTGAGAGCAGACTTGCGGATCCACATGCAGTTTATGAATTGAGGTCGTACAGGCCAGAGTCATAAACAGAAGCAAAAAAGTACCATAACAGAATAATTGTGGTCAATATACAGGCAAGACGTCAGACTGGGCAGCAATGGGTCAGGACAAGAAACAAGGATCAAAACACAGGAAAACAAACCAGGAGAACCGCTTTGTAAAGTTTGTGATAGAAACAAGACTCTGCAATGTGTGAATGAAAGTGAGGTGAATTTATAGTCTTTGTAATCAGTGTAGATGTGCAGCAGCTGTGTCTATGTGTAAGTGTCCGCATTATTGTCAGCGGTTGCAGGAGTTGATGAGCGCAGGGAGTTCTGGGAGTTGAAGTTTGGTCAGCAGTAATCTCTCATAAAGAAAACCCTGCTGGGAATTGCAACAAACTACAGGAAGTAGATCACCAGCGGGGCTACACCATTGGCAGTCATAACAAAAACACACCCAAATCCCAAAGTTTCCACTTTTGCGCCTCTTCAAATTGCATCTGCAGAAGTGCATTCAAGCCAAAATAAAGCAAAAGCATAATTCTCTTGAACAGCTCATGCAATTATATCACATTTGAGATCAGCTCATGTTGATGTTTCTTCCACTTTTCATAGAAGAATTTAAAATTTGGGAGAAATTCTGGAAAATATTTAAACAGGATGATATCTGGATCGAATGGTAAAGTACAGGAGAATCATGGCAAAAAAGGCAGTGTTGACACATATGATTTAATTATAACTAATACATGATTTGGACTGTATTCTTACTTTTTTATTGTTCTCATGCCATGGCTTGTTTTCACTGAGCAGTAATGTTTCGGTCCACTACAGTACAGTATAATACACATTTATTTCCATTTCCACTGTCCAAAGTACCAAAAAAGCAAACAGTACCCCTTTTTTGGCAGCTATTCAATTTTTGGTACCTAGCACAACAGTACTGTACCAAAAAGGTGGAACTAGACTCACTGCTGAATGCTATTGGTTTACAGAGAATCATCACTTGCATGACAAAAAGCCAGGAGAACGACAACAGGACTCACTATTTTTACATAGCTAAAAGACAACACCATAATAATACAATAACAAACCAAACAAAGCTTGTCGTCTTCTTTTGACAAACAGCCACATGCCAAAAGCAAGAACAGGGCCTGCTGTATGTCCTCCTTTGTTGTTTATGAGGTCATTTACATGTAGAAAGCACGAAGCACACCGCTTTCTGACATTCGGACACCAATCCAACCAAGTAAAGGATGCTGTCAGCAGTGGAAACAAAAACCTGTTTAAATAATCAGGTGAAATAATGACGTCTGAAATGTCTGTTTTTTAAATATTCCTTTTTTGTTTGCAGGCTTTTGAGGTTGAATCCAGTACAAAAGCCAAAGATTTCTGCCGAAACATCGCCGGCAGGATGATGCTTCATTCCTCTGAAGGTTTCAGCTTGTTTGTCAAAATTTCTGACAAGGTGAGTCTACAGAGCTGTCTAGATGAATCGAGGATGTGTGAGTTTATGGCACCATAAATAACTCCTTCAAAAGCCCAACCGCTGAGTGTTACTGCTTTCTCCTCTACTTTTCTCCTCACAGCTGGCAGTTGTTTGTCAGTATATTGTGATATAAATGTCTCATCGTGTTTCAGGTGATCAGTGTGCCAGAAGGAGATTTCTTCTTTGACTTTGTTCGACATCTGACAGACTGGATCAAAAAAGCCAGAGCTGTGAAAGACGGTGATTATGTGTTTTGCTCATTAAAGTATGGTGAAAGAAAGAGCTTAAATGTGCTGCAAGTTAAGAAAACAGATGCAAATAGAAAAACATTAAGAGAGTTTTAACAACACGCACTCACAAATTCATTCAGCACATGCAAATACATGCAAATGAGCTGCAAATAGCACAAAAACACAAAAGAACAAACCTGACTGCTTCCTGTTTAAAGTCCTCAGTATAGTGGGACATCTGATAGGTGGGTTTTTTGTTTATCTCTGAAAACACTGATGACAAACAAGAAGCAGTCGGGTTCATCACTTTTTGGGGTGTGCACTATTTGCAGTGTAATTCTGTATTTGTATTATCATGTTGTGAGAATTTGCATGTGTTTGTGTGTTGTCAAACTGATAAAGATATGTTTTTTGTGTGTTTTCTAAACTTTCAGTGCATTGGTGAATTCAGTGCCAATCAGCCAATGTGTAAAAATGATCATTTGAGTTGTAAAAATACATGAAAGGTGTTTATGTTTGTGTTTATTCTGTAGGCACAGTTCCTTCATTGACCTACCAAGTGTTTTTCATGAAGAAACTGTGGACTAACACTTTCCCAGGCAAAGATCCCATGGCCGACTCCATTTTCCATTACTTCCAGGTAGAAAACACATTTTGTAGCCTTTTTCAGACATGCAGTCTTTCTGGTGAATTACTAGTTCATTACTGTATATGTGAATTTTCAGGAATGGGTTTTTTAAGTTTTCCTCCTTGAGTTGTGACAGTTTTGGATTTTTGTTTTTGTTTTGGTGAGGGTGGGATTTTTCTTTATTACCAATACTGCAGCCAATAAACAGGGGGTGATCAAATCGTCTTGTCTTCATTTTTCAGGATGTGTCCTGCACGCCAGAAATATTTCTGAAAATGCTGTTATATAGTTACTAAATAATCGGGTGTCTGCAATTAAGAAGTGGTGTTTCATTCCCTTCATTTGTTCACTACTTTTTATTTACAGTTCCAGAGAAACCAAAAATTTGTGTGGTCCACTCTCCACTCTGATTTTGAGTGTACAAAGGCGGAAAAAAGAACATGATTATAATGAATATATTATTAATATATAATATTATTAATATATAATATAACTAATATTTAATACCATGTTTCTATATTTCCATACAAATAATTTTTACATTTTTAAAATCTTTCTTTTTAAATGTCATTAAAAAGCAAATCCCTTAATGTGTGCTTAGTTAGATTTTTTCACCATGTATTGCACTTGAGATAAAAACAATCTATAGGATTTACACTGATAAATTTAAATACAATGATAAATTTACCCAGCCTCAAGTGGTTCCAAACTATTATAATTTTGTTGTTGATGTTGTTGTTGTTGTTCTTGTTGTTGTTCTTGTCATTGTTAAACACAAAGATATACTGAAGAATGTTGGAAACCTGCAACCATCAACATTCGTAATAGCAAAAAAATACAGTGAAAGTCAGCTACTATTCTTTAACATTTTTCAAAATAACTTCTTTTGTGTATAATGAGCAAGAATATTCGCTTTTGCATGAGATGTCCCTTTTAAAATCCAATTGTCTGAAGACTCATGACTGATTATAAGAGAAACAGACTCAATTTTGTCAGTGATCTGACCTTTAAAAGGATGTTTTTAATGACATCTCCATTTGCCAATTCAGTATTTCACTGGTAAAGAGATTACATTTCAGGATGTTTTTCCCCCAAAACATTTCTAGCAAATATATGTAAATCAAGTCTATCTGGATTACAATGTGAAATCTGTTTGTTTAATTCACAATAAGGGAAAGTATACATTAATCAACGTTCCGCAAAAACTTAATGATTTATTTTGATGGTCCCTATTGCACTTAGTCTTTTTGCTGACTAAAAGTTGCATTGCAACTACATACCAGTTACTTCTCATTTGTGTATTAGTGGACTTTTTGCCTAATATCTGTTGATACTGCTCCTTCAAAGACATTTAACGGACTATAAGAAACTTTGCAAGTGCATGTCATCTTACAGCAACCCTAAACCCAACATAACAGTTTAATTATAATCTATTGAGAACTAGTTGGCATGTAAAAAGGCACGTTAAAGGCACCATCAAAATAAAGTGATACCCTTAAATGTAACCAATTTAGCCCAAAGTTTTCACTGGTGGTCCCTTCACCAGATGTTAAAGCCATACCAATAAAAAAAAAAAAAAAAACTTAAAACAATACTCAAGTTAACAACAAAAAACAACTACAATATCAAAAAGTCAAGAGTTCACAATGTTGAAAATAAGCAGCTTTAAAAATATACTTCAATGACCCAAAAGATAGACATTCTCTAACAGATTGTGGTATCAAATTCCACTGATGCTTCTCTTAACTTACATCTTAATCTCATAACTCAATTTTCAAAACTCTCCTTCAGGAGCTTCCAAAGTATTTGCGGGGCTATCACAAGTGCTCTGTTGAGGAGGCCTTTCAGCTTGCTGCGCTCATATACAGAGTCCGGTTCGAGGAGGACAAATCCCACTTCGTGCACTTCAGCAAGATGCAGAAAGAGCTGCTTCCTCAAGACCTCATTCATCAACTCTCACCCGACGACTGGAAACGGGTGAGCAAAACAACAGCCGGCCTCATTCAGTCGTTTATCACTAGAGGATAATGCAGTCATGTGTTTGTCTTCTCTCTTCTGCAGTCTGTCGTCACACACTTTAACAAGCATGCTGGGAAATCTCGAGAGGAAGCAAAACTCATGTTTCTGGAAATCATTTACAAGTGGCCTACTTTTGGATCTGCCTTTTTTGAAGTCAAGGCGAGTTTGTCATATTATGATGCAATTGTTTGTAAATTGCTGTGAAAATAAATTACAATACATTTAAATAAATTACATTGATGCAAGGATTTGATCTGTAAACTGAAGTGTGGTTTAATATTCATCCACAGCAATCGTCAGATCCACATTTCCCAGAAGTCCTCTTGATTGCGATCAACAAGCTTGGTGTTACTCTTATTGACCCGAAAACAAAGGTAGGTTCACACACTGCCCAGAACAATGTAAGTAAATGACTGTTTTAAAAATAAGTTTGAGATTGAGAAGAAATAGGCCCATTTAATTTCTTTTAGACTGTATTTATTTGATTAAGAAATACAGTCAAATGTTACAATAAATACCAAATTACAAAATTACAATATAAATATTGAAAACATTTTAAAATATTATTTATTACAAGTTATTTAGGGCAATGCTGAATGTTTTTCATATTACTGAGAAACACTTTACACAAGGTTTTATTTGTCAATATTAATAACTGCATTTAACATGAATATAAAAATACTTTTAAAAATACGTAAGTAATATTTACAGTATATATACATACATACATATATATATATATATATGTATGTATATGTATATATATGTATGTATGTATGTATGTATGTATATGTATGTATGTATGTATGTATGTATGTATGTATGTATATATATATATATATATATATATATATATATATATATATATATATATATATATATATATATATATATATATATATATATATATATATCCATTCTTCTTTTTCTTCTTTTGCTGTACGTTTATTAATGTTATCAAGCATTATTAAATACTGTGGTAAATGTGCTGCTAATTGTTAAAAATAATGCATAATTGAGCTCATTGTGAAGCTTTAGCAACATTTATCTTTTTTTTTTTTTGGAAACTTTTTTGTTCTGCGTAATACTTATTCTAAAAGAATTCTTTAATAAATATAATTAATATTAAATAGTTTTATAAATGTTTATAAATCCTTTTTTTTCATCCTAAAAATGGACATCTGCTTACATCAAACTTTTACACAAACGTATTTTATTTTACATTTTACTTGTTTATTTTACACTTTGTAATCTACTCTGTATACACTTTGTGTATACACACACACACACACACACATACACACACACATATATATATATTCAGTTGAAGTCTGAATTATTAAATTAAAAAAATTAAAATTAAAAAATTCCTCAATTTCTGTTTAATGGAGAGCAGATTTTTTTCAACACATTTCTAAACATAACAGTTTTAATAACTCATTTCTAATAACTGATTTATTTTATCTTTGCCATAAGGACAATAAAAATTATTTAAAAATTTTAAGGCACTTTTATACAATTTAAAGTGACATTTAAAGGGCCTAAATAGGTTAATTAGGTTATCTAGGGTAATAGGTTAATTAGGGTAATTAGGTAAGTAATTGTATAACGATGGTTTGTTCGAAAAAACCTTATTGACCTTAAAATGTTTTTTTTTTATTAAAAAACTGCTTTTATTCTAGCTGAAATAAAACAAATAATACTTTCTCCAGAAGAAAAAATATTATCAGACATACTGTGAACATTTCCTTGCTCTGTTAAACACTATTTGTAAAATATTAAAAAAAGAAACGAAATTTCAAAGGGGAGCTAATAACTCTGACTTCAAATGTATATGATACAAACTATGTATAAATTGAAATATCTATGTAGCAAAATTGTTTTGTAAAGTTTTGTTTCTATTCTTGTGTGTGTATTACATATAAATATTAATTCATTCATTTTCTTGTCGGCTTAGTCCCTTTATTAATACGGGGTCGCCACAGCGGAATGAACCGCCAATTTATCCAGCACGTTTTTACGCAGAGGATGCCCTTCCAGCCGCAACCCATCTCTGGGAAACATCCACACACACACTCATACACTACAGACAATTTAGCCTACCCAATTCACCTGTACCGCATGTCTTTGGATTGTGGGAGAAACCAGAGCAGAGGTAACGCAGGGAGAACATGCAAACTCCACACAAAAACCCCAACTGACCCAGCTAAGGCTCGAACCAACGACCCAGCAACCTTCTTGCTGTGAGGCGACAGCACTACCTACTGCGCCACTGCGTCGCCTACATATGCATAAAAAATCTATATAATACAAACGCATATATATTATGTCAAAACATACTTTTTTATGTGATTAATCATTGCCCAGCACTATTTATATTTAAACATTGATGGTACATTATTGCAGTAACATAAATGTAAAGCAAAGTTTTAAAGCAAGAAAGCAACATTTATTGCATTTTGTTAGATATTGTATTTAATTACTCCTCTGTCTACAGGATATTTTGGGAACACACCCCTTCACCAAAATCTCCAACTGGAGCAGTGGACACACATATTTCCACATCACCATTGGAAACCTGGTCAGAGGCAGCAAACTTCTGTGCGAAACATCACTAGTGAGTCACACCTTTTGTTACATACATTACACAAAGACACCAGCTATTCCTTTAGATTATTGATGATATTTTGTTCTGTGGTTTAATAATGCTACTTTTTATCCTGTCTTCCACAGGGATACAAGATGGATGATCTTCTGACCTCCTACATCAGTCAGATGCTGACCACCATGACCAAGCAGCGCAGTTCACGGACAAACAACAAGTAAAACATGACTTTTGACAGTGCGCTGTTTATTCTTAAGCACACAGTATTTCCTGGATCAGTCATTTTGATACACAAACATCAGCTGAATCTGCTATTAGTGTGGTTACCTTTTCATACTGGAGCCTTAATTGTAAATTGTGAGTTTAATTTATTTAATAGCATTTCTCAGTCTTTTAATGTTGAATGAAGAACACGTTTAACTGACTGTCAGCATACTTGTTGCCTTTACATTTCAGGCCCTAATGTTTTTTTTTTTTTTTTAATTATTATTACTCTGATACCAATTTGAAAGTCAGATCAATTTCCTGATACAATTTATCAGTTTGTGGAATGATTTGTGTGTCATTTTGCCAATTAAATGCATTATGAAGATTTAGAAATGTTGCCAAAATTGTTGCACATTTGGTTTTGGTCCTTATAGTGTTTACACAGCACTGTTTTTAGCTAACTTTTAAAGCGTTTCAAATAAAAAAAAACATCATGAACTTCTTGTAATCTAAATTTAATAGACTATTGTCATGCTAATAGACTATTGTCTTGTAAGCATACTTGTTTCTTTTTCTGGGTTATTTGAAACCACTTATCTAAAAGTCTAAAACTATCATCTTAGTAATGTTTTCGGAAAGGCACTTCTTGACCTTTGTAAATGCTCCACTGCAAAGATAAGTATTAAAATGGATTTTCTAAATTGAAAAATTAATCAATCACAATTGCACAAGATGTTTAGGGTAAATGATTGAATCTTTAGCCATTATCCAATTTATTTATTCTTCCTTTTTTTAAACACATCTATTCATTTGTAGTTTCTAATTTTGGTATGTTGGAAGCTGCTGTTTATAAATAAAACGATAATATATTTGAGTTGCCTGGATTATTTGAATGGGATTTAGTCTTTTCAGTCAAATATTTAATATTTTGAATTGGCGCTGATAGTCTAAGTGCGTTAAAACATAGAACAAAGGTGTTTACGGGGACCTGAGTTAGATTCCCGGCCTTGAGGTCCTTTGTTAATCCCCCATAATCCCCACCCCCAAACCACCCACCCACCAACACTTTCCTGTCCATTCTCTACACTGTCCTATCAATAAAACATGAAAATCCCTTAAAGTGTTTTTTTATATTAATAATTTAAGTTTTACATCAATTAAATGCAACAAATTCAAATGATTCATTTACATCATACAATTACTGTCAAATTGTGTATAGTCAGTGTTTTTATTTTATTATTATTTAATAACATTGTAGTATTCATTCAGTAATTTATTTTCTTTTGGCATAGTCCCTTTATTCATCAGTGGTCGCCACAGCGGAATGAACCCCCAACTTATCCAGCATATGTTTTACACAGCGGATGCCCTTCCATCCGCAACCCAGTACTGGAAAACATCCATACTCACTCATTGATACACATACACTAAGGCTAATTTAGTTTATTCAATTCACCTGTACCGCATGTCTTTAGACTGTGGGGGAAACCGAACACGAACACGGTGAGAACATGTAAACTCCACACAAAAATGCCAACTGACCTGTCTGGGACCAAACCAGTGACCTTCCTGCTGTAAGATGACAGGACTAACCACTTGCTTCAATATATTTAGTTTCCATTTTAGTTTGACTGATTTTGTGTAAATTTTTCGTTTTTATATTTGTGATTATTTTGTATTAATACATTTATTGTGTTTGTTTTTAGCCATTTTAGTACTTAATACAAATATTCATACATTTTACTTCAGGTTTTTTGAATAGTTTTTATAAGTTTTAATATTTTTAGTTAACAATAACCACACTGTTTGTTGTTCTCGATGTACAACAATAACTTTTTGATAGAATTAGACTAGAGAGTTCTTAGCATAATAAAAATAAGAAAATTGTAACAATAAAATAATTGAAAAACACACGTGAACAAAATTCACAAACAAAAACTCCCCAAAAAACTAAGAAAATAAGAGCTCAAACAGACAATGCTTAAAGATATAGACATACATCATGATATTGCAATAGCTAAACAATGATTACATAATGACAGCAGTTGTATGTGGCTAAAATACGGCTCTGATTCACCCCTACATTCAATTAAAACAAGACAAAACACAAGCACAAATATGATTTATGACCTTTAAGATTGTTACATGATTAAGGTTCAGTTGGAGATTAATGTTTCAGCCAAAACCATGAAAGGGCTTTTCAATACCACTTAGGAGAAACCATAAAACCAATAAATCCACTAATGCTTCAGTGAAGAAAACATAAATTTCATTGAAATGACAAATAATCCCAATCATGCTTGAAATGGAAACCTTTAATGCAGCACTGATGAAACCTGAGGCTGGAGAAATGACAATATAATGTCTCTACAATTGAGCATTTACAAGACACAATTCATAAAAAATACCAGTAACTTTAAGGCCCCACTTGAACTGTGGTTTACAGCGGTTTAACTGAACGTCAGTTAGAGATTTGTTAAACATACAGGTTAGATATGAACATCAGGCACTTTAGAGAGAGAGTTCGTGTTTCTCAGAACCGTTCATGTTGGATAAAAACCACACATCGTTCAGCTCTGGTCAAGGAGACATGAAGCATGATCAGAATGATGCACTAGAAGATGAAGCCGTTTGTTTTATAAACTGATTTAAGGATGAATTGTCTCCTACCTGCCCTGAACTGTCTGTAGGAGCCATTATCAAGTTCTGAACTGTTGTTCACACTGATGGCCAAAACTCGCTCCCTCCACCTGCAAAACATCAACACTAGCTATGATTCCATCCATCTATTTTTTATGCACATTTTAGAATATCTTATAAAAAATGTACTAAAAAATGTACATGCATTTTGAAAATATGCATTAAAAAAAACAGATGTGCACAGCTGTGTAGGATAAACTTTTTATCCGATAAGAAAAAAATGAGCATAAACAACAATGGAAACACAAGTACTGAATATATTCCTATATGCGCATTAAAAAATCATGTGATTTTGTCCTAAGAGTTTACGTTATGACAAAAACAGACACAATGGGACAGCATTAATAGACAAATCAACAAATCAATTACATTGTGCTACATCAGGAAGTGATTATTTTATTCTCTTTGACTCAATGGATGAAAACAGGGCTTTATTTGCAATATTTTATGTGATGAATGAGAAGTTTAATTTACATCTATTTTTCTGAAGGACTACAGCATAGGTCTCAAACTGGATTCTTGGAGTGCCTCAGCTCTGCACAGTTTTGCTCCAACCCTAATCAAACACAGCTGATGCAATAATCGAGTGCTCAAAAGTGTCTTGAACACCTTTATTATTTGGATCAGCTGTGTTTCATTAGGGTTGGAGTAAATTTGTGCAGAGCTGAGGCCCTCCAGGAATCCAGTTTGAGACCTATGCTCTACAGCCTTCAAAACTTTAAAACTACTTCAAAGTCTCGACTCAGACTTTCTCAAATTAGCATCAAAGTTTGTTCATAAACTTTTCTAGTTTCAGTTTTATATATAATCAGTTTCAGTTATAATATATACATTAAATAACTTTAATTTATCTTTGTTTTTTCCCTCATATTTCAGTTCCTTGTTCTTAAATCTGATCTTTACTGTGGAATGAGGGGAGCTAAATGTTGTGAATGCTTGTTTATTTTTAGGTACACCTGTAGCCTATTTTATGTTGTTTCAGAATGAAATTCTACAATATGCCTTAAACACAAATGCAACTTTTTTTCAGCAACACAATTTTAACCCTGTGAGACAAATTTCTGGGAAAAAAAATGTTATTGATCACAGTGAGACTCACCAATGAAACATAAAGATCATCATGATTAGAATAAGGGATGTAATGTCAGTCAGAGTCCACATTAGCCTGTACTCGTCCGGCGTCTGAGAGAGAGAGCAAAACCACAGGTTTGAACAAGTGATAGATATTATTTCTAAGTGGTGTGTCGTTTACCATGAGAAAGAGTGGCCTTTGCAGTTTCTTAAGGATGTGAACAGCATTAGTGGCAACAGAATGAGCTCCTGAACACCAGGCAAGAGAATACAGCCACGGCTCGCTGACCACATACAGGTTAGTGCTGATGTTTGCAGCAGCGTATTTTCTGTTGTTCAGAAAAGGAAGACCACAAAGACTTTATCCCAACATATTCATAGCAATATATGTTTATTTAGAAAATATTTTGTGACCCTGGACCAAAAGAACAGTCATAAGTTGCACAAGTATATTTGTGGGGAATGCCAAAAATACCTCTTTTTTTGTATTTTCAATATGACAAAAATTAGAATGATAAAAAATAATTTTCTTTCATGAAGACATTTTGTTGATTTCCAACTGTAAATATATAAAAACTTTCTGATTAGTTAATATGCATTTGCTAAGAACATCATTTGCACATTTTAAAGGCAGGTTTTCCTCAATATTTTGATTATTATTGAACCTCAGATTCCAGATTTTTAACTAGTTACATGTCAGCCAAATACTGTCCTATTTTAACAAACCATACATCAATGGAAGTGTATTTATTCAGCTTTCAGATGTTGTAAAAAAAAACTCCATATTGCAAAAATTGACACTTATGACTGGTTTTGTGGCCTATGGTCACTTTTAGTCCGTATTGACATGATGCACATCCATGTGAATGTATCTACTGAACCTGATTTCTGTCTCTGACATAGAGCTGTAATGGATGTTGAGTCTGGCTATGCGTCTCAGCTGAAGCTCCTCCACAGGTGCTTGTTCATGTGTTATCTGCTGTAACTCAGGGTCAAGTTCTTGTACGAAGTCTCTGAGCTCTGGAGGCAGCCATAATACCTAAATTAAACATATACAATTGAAGGCAAAATGATAAGCCCTACTGTGAAATTGATTTCTCAAATTATGTTTAACAGAGCAAGGGCATTTTTAGTTTCGTATTATATTCTTTTATCTAGCCTTACCTCTGTAATCTACTTGAAGTGTTAAATAAAAATAAGTCTTGAGGTCAATTTTATTAGCCTCGTTAAGAATTATTTTATTTATTAATTTATTTATTTTGTACAGATCATACCACTGTTGTTCAATAACTGTCCTAGTTATGTCTTTAAATTGCACTTTAAGCTAATTACTGAATACTCTTGCTAATAACTAATATAATAAATTTACTGTCATCATGAGAAAGACAGAAGAAATTAGTTATTATAAATGATTAGTTACTAATACTAATGTTTAAAAATGTGTTGAAAAAATCACTCTTTTTTGAAAAAAAAATCGTATTTCTCAGGAGGGCTAATTATTTAGCATTCATTTGTACATCAAATAGTTGTAAAACATCAATAATAAAATAAATGTAATTAAATATTGGCCTTTTAAATGCCTGAATAGTGTAAACCATGTAATAAAGGCACACCTGACTGGAGTGAATGGAGGACTGGTTGTGGATGACGTCCAGGGTTTGGGTTATCCATGTATCTCTGTAAGGGTGACCTCGGGGCGGCCGGTACAGGTCAAAGACCACAAGTTTTCCATGTTGAGCAGCCAGATCCAGGAAAGACCTCAGTGTGCACACAGACTGATTCTGGGCCTGCAGACGTTGACCTGAGCTCAGAGAAGAGGCCGTTCTGAAGGGGTCTTGCTGTGAGAGAGAAAATGTGATTAAAACACTCTTCTGACACTTAGTTAACACTGACTCTTTCGTCTGAACCCCAGGTACACTAAATCCTTTATTATGTTACTCTGTTCAAACTGCACATAATTTATCTTAATTGACATATAGGGTAAACTATTTATATAATATATTATAACTAAAATAATATATAAAATAATTTATGTATAAATAAAAAGGATCTAAAATATTATTTGCAAAATATTTAGTTTATTAAGTTATTTTTAAGTTACTT